GTGGCCTCACGGAAGAGGGCTTTTATCTGTGGGGCCTCATATATTCATACCTGTCTTTGTGCTGGGAGTACACAGCACAGTGTACACCCAGCACAAAGACAAGGTTTGCACCAGGAGAGCAGGACTAGGGACTCCTGTTCGCTATGATAGCCCTTGATTGCTATGATAGTCTCAGTGATCAGTCACTGCACAACCCTCCCATGTGTTTGCTTCCTCTTCTGAATGGAGAGAAAGATACATTAAATCTTTCTCTCCTTGCAGGAGAGGAAGATGTAAACAAACAAAAGTGTGTAATAAAATTTATAAAACATTTTTAAAAAGTTACAAAAAAATAGCTAGATCAAGGTTTGATCTAAATCAGTTCCAGGGTTAGTGTTACGGTCAAGGTAAGGGTCAAAGGCCAAGGCATGGGTCAAAGGTTGGGGTCAGTATATTTTTGGTAGGCATTTTTTTTAATTAGTACCAGGAACAGTTTCAGTGTTTTTTAGGTAGAATTTAAAAAAAGCAAAATATACTCTAATGTTTCTGGTCCTACTATGGGTACAAACAACAACTATCATACACATATGGGATATCGCTGCGAACACCAGAATTTATTTTGCATTGTTGGTGGTAAATTATGGTAGTATCAAGAAACATACCGCTAAACCTATTTTTTTTTTTATTATTATCATGGCCCAGTTTTCCTTTGATAATTAAAAAAAATTAGGTGATATCCATTACTATTTACAACTAAAAGAAATTCCAATTTGTCCTGAAGAAAAATATAGGGTAATATAGAGTATACAGGTACGGTGATATGTACAATGCAATTATATGTACAGCTTTGCTAACATATGTTAACGTTGCAAAGTAAGAGTGGCAAAACACATAAATAATTGTAGCGCTACCCTCATATAGAAGCCACTTGTATCTTGCCAAGGCTTTCCCCTAGATCTTCTCCTGCAGCCAAGCACACAGCAATTCCTATAGCCAGGTGCACACAACTTCCACTCATTACGCCAATGATCAGTCTAGGGGTTGTAGTTTTTTGTTGTTTTTATTTTGTTTTAGAACTGGGATAGGGTAGGGATATATTGGGATACTCCAAATTGAACTATGCACACTTGAGGACAGCTAAGTCTCCAAGTAGATATGTGTAGCAAACTACAAAGACTGCACTAAAGTCCCTCTGTAGAAATGCAGAACTTAATAGACAGTTGCTCTTCTGGACACCAACTTGTGTCCCCTCTAGCTTACACCCAGCAGCTGACAATATAGGTCTGAAGGGGGGTTAAAAAGTCTTAGCATCCATGTAGAATAGACTGTACTCATAAAGCTCTTGCTTCAGGACACCTTTCTCTGTGATACCAGACAGGATCTGTAAACATCCCCCTTAGACAGCTCTCAGAATCACCCTGGGTTTCAGAATTCTGGCCCTATCCGAGGCCTCCTGTCAGCATAAGCTGGGCGCCTACCCTGGTTGGAACTCCCTTCTTAGAGGAACATATTCATTCCTGGATACAGAAGAGCCAATCACAGCAGCGGCAGCTGCAGCAGCAGCACTGTGAGCCACAGAGGATATTCTCACTAAACAATTATAGCTTTCTGTTAAGCAGAAAGTTGCTATATTTTTCCTACCAGTCTCCTGTTAAGCAGGAGACCACATCATACTAAGCTAGACTATATACATCCTAGCAACCTACCTAGGAGGGTGCATCACTCATCCCTCGCCAAAAATAGGCTATGTCCTCATTGGCCTGGGCAGCTGCCCCTACAAAAAAAAATTTGTACAAGAATCGGGTGGAGCATCCCACAAACTTGAAAGGGGGAAAAGGGAAATAACATATCAACAAGGTCTATGTGGCCGATAGCACAAAAATGAATTTGGGGTGGAAATATTTAAGACATCTACTGTGCAAGTATTCACAGGACAGTTAGGTAGAGCCCTACCCGGTGTAAATTGAATTAGTAAATACACACACCCCAGCGCACAGGAACCACCTCCAAAAACTTACACCCAGGTAGTTAAATTGCTGCTGTGCACAGGTAAACCAAACCAAAAAAAGTGAAAATACGAAGAAACAGCGCAAATAAACGATATGGTGAATACTTGTGAGCTATTATGAATCGAGGTGTTCAATAGGTTCTACAAGTGCATGGGGGTGCGCTGGCACTTGCACTGACTCACTTAGCTAGTGTGTATAAATGATAGAAAAAAGATTGCGCCGCGCTCCTATATATTAATATATACAGCTTAAGCTTCTAAAGTGTATCAAATAACAATATTACCAAATATGAACTGTGACTATACCACTAAATGCATATGAAATAATACATATAGATAGCATGCATGGTAAATAATCCTAAAGCAATAGTGCCTTAATGGGTGCCACGGTATAAACCTATGTTGCACCTGTATATAACTGTGTATATTCTATATTAATAGTGCAAAAACATATGTGCACGTGCTAATATTAAACAAATATATATACAGTCTTTAAAATAAATGTGCAGGTGGATATTTCATGTAAACATAGACCTTTACATGAAATCAATATTACAAAGTGCAAACATAAGTGAAAAATTAATCAGTGGTAAAGTCCATCAAAATAAACCAAAGTTCAAAAATATTAGTGCAAAAAAGAAAAAGAAAAAAAGAAAAAATATTTTCAAATTCTTCTTCTAATATATATTTGAAAATATTTTTTCTTTTTTTTCTTTTTTCTTTTTTGCACTAATATTTTTTGAACTTTGGTTTATTTTGATGGACTTTACCACTGATTAATTTTTCACTTATGTTTGCACTTTGTAATATTGATTTCATGTAAAGGTCTATGTTTGCGCTGTTTTTTCCTTTTTTTCATTGTTTGTGTTGATCACAGTGCACAGCAGCAGGATAGAACTTGTATTAGAGTGTTTTACTAGGCGCAGGAAGAATTTTTAGTTTAATAAACTGAAAAATGTTTGAAGATTTTGCTTTCCTTTGAATCACTTCATTAATATTTAGTTGTATAAGCACTGTTTCTGAGAACTGCTGTACATCTGTATTGCATGGAGTCAACTAACTTCTGGCACCTGTGAACAGGTATTCCAGCCCAGGATGATTGGACTACATTCCACAGTTCTTCTCTATTTCTTGGTTTTGCCTCAGAAACTGCATTTTTGATGTCACCCCACAAGTTTTCTATTGGATTAAGATCCGGGGATTGGGCTGGCCACTCCGTAACGTCAATCTTGTTGGTCTGGAACCAAGATGTTGCACATTTACTGGTGTGTTTGGGGTCTTTGTCTTGTTGGAACACCCATTTTAAGGGCATTTCCTCTTCAGCATAAGGCAGCATGACCTCTTCAAGTATTCTGATGTATTCAAACTGATCCATGATCCCTGGTATGCGATAAATAGGCCCAACACCGTAGTATGAGAAACATCCCCATATCATGATGCTTGCACAACCATGCTTCACTGTCTTCACAGTGTACTGTGGCTTGAATTCAGTGTTTGGGGGTCATCTGACATACTGTATCCGGCCACTAGACCCAAAAAGAACAATCTTACTTTCATCAGTCCACAAAATGTTGCACCATTTCTCTTTAGGCCAGTCAATGTGCTCTTTGGCAAATTGTAACCTCTTCAGCACATGTCTTTTTTTCAACAGTGGGACTTTGGCTGAGTCCTTGCCATTTTGGCTATTCTTCTATCCATTCGAATGGTAGTTTTTTTCCACGTCTTTCAGGTTTTGGTTGCCATTTTAAAGCATTTGCGATCATTTTAGCTGAGCAGCCTCTCAGTTTCTGCACTTGTTTATATGTTTTCCTCTTCAATCAACAACTTTTTAATCAAGGTTCGCTGTTCTTCTGATCAATGTCTGGAACGACCCATTTTCCTCAGAATTTCAGAGAAATGCACTGTAACCAGCATGTACAACATTTGCTGCCTTCCTTCCTTAAATAAGGGCAATAATTGCCACCTGTTTTTCAAAGAATGAATGACCTCACTAATAGAATTCCACACTGCTATTATTTTGAACATGCCCCTTTCAATTAGTGATTCAATTACACAGAATCAGCAGCATGCATGTCATGACTGTTGGGTCTGTTGGATTTCTATTACTACTACTACACCTGCTAGTAAATTATTTACCATGTAGAAATATAATTTCTACCAAAAACAGTGATTGATCAGGTTAGTGATGTCTGACTGCTATTATTTTGAACACAACTGTATATCCGTGATTCTATGCACAGGTGCCGCCCTGTAGCAGTATATCTGCTATAGGGTGGTCCTTAACCACTTCCAACCGGACACTTTTATCCCCTTCCTGACCAGGGCAATTTTCAGCTTTTAGCGCTATCACACTTTGAATGACAATTGCGCAGTCATGCAACACTGTACCCAAATGAATTTTTTTACCATTTTTTGAGACAGATAAAGCTTTATTTTGGTGGTATTTATTCACCACTGGGATTTGTATTTTTTTTGCTATGTAACTGAAATGTCCCAAAAAAATTTTAAAAAAGTGTTTTTTTAATAACATTTTGCAAATAAATAATATTTCATCATAAATCTTAGCCAAAATTTATTCCGTTATCTTTTTAGTAAAAAAAAAAAATCCAAATTAGTTTATAACCAAAAATTATAATTTTTAAACATTTTTTTTTTACATTTTTATTTTATTTTTTTTATATATTATTATTTTTTATTATTTATTTATTTATTTTTTTACATACTGTCACCCTAGCAGTACAGTGTCACCATGGTGACACTGTACTACTTGTGGGGGGTGACGAAGATTTTTTTTTTTTTTTTTTTTTTTACACTGATTGCTTTTTACACCCATATAGGATGTAAAAGCAATCATTTCTCTTTCTCTCTGTGTGCATTCTTGCACTCATTGAGAAGTACTGAGTGAGCTGTGATTGGTCACAGCTTGTCACATGGTACAAGGCTTTTGTGAATAGCCTTGTACCATGTGACCTCTGTGATCATTCACAGATTTCACTCATAGTAAGCAATGATGTCAGAAGTGACATCTTGCTTACTACTTTGCATGTGATCACTGATTGGCCAATCAGTGATCACATGATCGGGACCTCGTACAGAGGTCCCGTCCGACGATCGGTGTTTCACTGTGTCCGGAGGACACAGCGGGCTCCGGATCGTGGTGCTGCACGCTCCCAGGGAGCGCGCACAAGCAGGGTGCGGGGAGGCCGTTTATAAACGGCCACCCGACCCTGCAGTGCCACCATCCGGCCGGTCGGGAAGTGGTTAAGCGGTTAACTAGGTTAGTATTGATATTTATTCTATTACAAAATTCTATTTCTAAAAATAATTGGTGTTACATCAACAGCTCACTGATTGCACTAATGTAATGCAAAAATTATATTAGGGGTTCCCAAGATTTAAAAAAAAAAGGTTGGGAAACCCTGCCATACACTGATAAACAGTAAGTTTTTGAATATTATACCATATCCATTTATGAAGAAAAAAAATAGACAGCTTTTCCTTACCATTTCTAATACCATTATCATTCCAGCCACAAACTAAAAACCATACTGTGCATTATCTAAATGATACATAGTTCTAACATAATTTTAAGCTTTAAGTTTAACCTTTGGAAGCTTTAAAAGGGTTTTATTAATCAAAATAGTAAATATCAAGCTGACACCCACTGTTTAAAATGTTTCCTCAGAAACAGTCAAAGTTACAGTTAAAATCAACTGAAATCAGGTCAATGTAAACACATTTTCAATTAATTTCTATACCAAGTTGGTCATCTGTTGGCTTAAAATCATGAAATCATCAAAACTCTGGCTTGCAGATTTATGTGCACACATTGCCCAACAAGCAAAGTCCAAAAAGAATTGGTGACAAACTTTAGGCTTCACTACTCTATTCTTCTGTTCTTTAGCAAGGAACATACAGTACATTGCACAGTGCCCAGAATATAGAACAACTGAGGGTGTGCAGAGCAGGATTAGACTGTGTATTACTGTATTTTAAACAATATAGGCTCTTAAGTTTAATGTTTTATATGGCTCGACTTGCAAAAGGGTCAGCATGAAGTAATTAATCAGGACTTAATTTTCTGACTAAAAAACCTGGGGTACACCACTCACAAATGTAATCCATTTAGAGAATAAACCATTTACTACCTCTCTGTGGACCTAATCATGTAACCAGTATTCTGTTAATGTGCATACTGATTCTTCAACTCTGGTAGACCGTATTTTATAAATTAATTTTTTTTGGGGTACAATATCAAATGCTTTAGCAAGATCAAGAAAAAAACTACTCCCACTGATTTTCCACCATCCAATTCTTCACTTACTTCCTCATAGAAAATTAACAGGTTGGTCTAACAAGAAAGTGTTTTCCTAAATCCATGTTGGTTGTTACTTATGATACCTTTATCTCAGACAAATTTCTGAAGAAAGTTCTTTACCATTCCCTTAAATACTTTACATACTATTGATGTTAGGCTGGCTGATCTGTGGTTTCTTAATATACATTTTTTTTTTAATATTGCTACCAGATTTGCCCTAATCCAATCAGTTGGTACCATTCCTGTCAGTTAGAAATAATGGCTTGGCTATATTTGAGCTAAGTACCCTGGGGACGGATATAGGTAATCTAGTCACAGAGGTACTTTCAGTACGTTGTTATTAGCATTACAACTATGAAACAAATATTTTTCATCTGTAAAAACTGAAGAAAAAATCTAATACATCTGCCCTCTTCCTGTTGTTTGTGATCAACTTTCCATGTTCACATTTGCAGGGGCCTTTGTGTTCTTACTTTGCCTTTTTATTATTGATACAGTATATTTGAAAAATATGGTTTGTTTTACTTGCTGTAGTAATTTGTTTCTCCTATTCTATTTTAGCTACCCTAATTTCTTCCTCTTGTTGCATTCCTTGTCATTTTAAATGCCAGTACATACCTCTTAATTTGTACCTTTCTAAAGGCCTGTTTTTTTTCATGTATGTGCTTTTTACACTGCAATTTAAGAATACAGGTTTTAATTTTGTCCTTTTATATTTGTTATCCATTGTAATAAAATTATCAATTGCACTTGTATGATACAATTTGAAAACTATCTCACTTGTCTACTTTTCTTTTTTTTTTTTTTTAATATTTAGTTCTATGGCGCATCATGCAGTAAGGAGAACAGCTTATTGGAGTTAGCTTTTTGAAATTTAGGTCCCATGTACACGGGACGTTTCTGAATGATGGAAACTGACTGCTGGAAAATGTAGGTTAAAAAATGTCTGTCTAGCCGCGTTTGCATAACGCGTTTATGCGTGTTTATGAGCATTTGCATTTAGAAGCTTTTTTAAAGATAAGCAGAGGAAAACCTCCAAAATTCCCTGAATGCTCTGAAAAGTGGTAAATCATTAACTATTTCAGACTGTTTTCAGAGAAATACAGAGAGTAGAAGCAGACACAGAAGTATGTGTTGACATTAGCTAGGAGTGAGTTGCTCATTAACATTTCTTTTGTTTCCAAGGGTGGCACAGGTGTCTGGTGGAGTGAGTCATTAAGACCACCTGGCAGGGGGTCTTCATGAGGAATTTGAGGTGTGAATGGTTATTAACATATCCTTTGTTTCCAAGGGTGGGAGAAGTCTGAGGTGTGAATTGGTCATTACAATGTGTGACAAGCTTGGTAGAAACATCCTGTGTTAAGTGTTTTGTCCATCTGAGCACCTTGAAAACTCTTTGCACGCATTTTTCATGATAAAAAGGCTCTGGACAGCATTGGGAACTGGAAAAGTAAAAAAAAAAATTCAAATGCAAACACTTATAAACGTGATTTGCCCCATTTAGACTTGTTTAGCCACATTTACAAATGGTTTGCTTTTGAAACGCTGATAAAATTGACGTTGGAACACAAGTTTGTCGCATTCAAAAAAATGACTGTAAACTCAACTGCTTGTAAACAACTGTAAACGAAGATGTGTACATGGACAGATAGGAAAACATTAGGGTGAGATCAGGGGCTACTGAGAAAAAATGCTGAACAGCTCCTAAACCTGAGTTTAGCAGCTGCAGTGTACATGAGCCCTTAGAGTTCTTACCATACCAACTTTCTTCTTTCCTGTAACAGCAAATGTGATTATTCCATAATTACTATTACCCATGTTGTCTCTTCCTTGCACCTCTTCGTTGAGCTCCACGTTGTTTAAAATTTATAGGTCCAACAGTTCAGTTTTACTAGTTGAGACTACCAACTCCTGTTGCATGAAATTATCCTGTAACAGTTTTAAGAATTAACAAGTCTTTGTTTAGTGTGCAGTTCCATTTGCTTAGTTATTAGCATGATAATTGAAGTTGCCAATATTAATAACATTAGCCTGTTTCCCAGCCATTTTATTCTGCGAAAGGAGCTTACACTTATTCTTTATGTTAGAGAGCTTATAACATACTCTCACACGTAAGTTGCTATTTGCATATCGGTATCTGTCTGTCCTTGCTTTAACACCTATTTCTATCCTTAATAAAGCAGTAATTTCCCTGGTAATTAGAAGAGGAATTCCATGAACAAAATTCTACTCATGAATTATATCCCCAATATCAGCTAGCTTGGCATATTTATTTTGATGTTTCAACCCACAACTAGCAATGAGCCTTGAACATACCTGGGTTTGGTTTGAGGCAGGTCCGGTGAACATTACTAAAATTTGAGAGTGGAGGGTTAGAGAAGAGTAATTATCATTTAAATAAATAATACAAAAAAAGTGTAGCGCTAACTCTATAATATTCAGATCTATGAGAATAGTGGTGGAAAACCCCTTTTCTAACTGAAAAATCTCCTTTACTGATAATGAATACTGGTGGAAACCTTCTATGTAAACATCACAGTGATAATAACTTACCACTCCTATTTGCAATAATAAACTGAACAATGACATCATCACGTTAAATCGGAAGTGAGGTTGTCATGCAAGGTTAGAAGGTGATGAAAAGTTCCTGGGGCTTCTTAAGAGGACAGCACACTGTATACCTATAAGTCACATATCCATGTGCATGGTTTAAAGTGTTCCATGTGAGTGTATTTATTTAAGTGTTAATAAAAAACTGATTTTTCTATTATGGTGAAGCAAGATGATGGCCTATCTTAGATTCTAACTGAGCTATGAATGTTTAAGAACTCTTGCTAACTGGAGCAAGAGGAGCTAGTGGATCTGAGGTGCAACTGAGAATATTATTATTATACAGGATTTATATAGTGCCAACAGTTTGCTCAGCGCTTTACAATATAATGGGAGACAGTACACGAGACAGTACAGTAACAATACAGTGCAATACACAAGGGGTTTGAGGGCCCTGCTCCTTGGAGCTTACAATCTAGGAATATCTCAGACCAGTGGATTTAATCCCTAGTTGGGGAAGATGTACAGTAACCTGTTTTTTTCAGGTCAAGTATGGAGGTGAGCACTTAATATTGCTGGTGATGAATACAACACGGTGCAGTAACTTTGGGACTTGCATAGTTCTTATAATTCAGCATACTACCAAGCAGATTGTCTGTTTATGGACTTTTTTGCACTAGATGCCACCACTATTTTACTACTTGCACGATATGTTTATGAATTATTTGAATTATGTTTTTTTCTTTGTGGATTCAGGCATTGTGTGGCAACACAATTACAAGGTGTATGTCACAAGTATTTTATTATAACACTGTATTTATTATTGTATTCAATTTATTATTGCAAATAGGAGTAGTAAGCTATTATCACTGTGATATTCACATAGGAGGTTTTCACCACCATTCACTATCAGTAAGGGAGATTTTTTTCACAGCTAGCACAAGAGGTTTCCACTACTATTCTCATACATCTAAATAATAGAGAGGTAGCACTTTGTAATATTTATGTTAGTGGGTGTGCGAACAGACATCAGTGTTTAGCAGCAGACCCGGTATTTTCGTTTCGTTTATTATATTGCATGGTTGTTTTAATTATAGTAGCACGGTGGTATTTGCACATGCTTAATTATCACTTTATAGACTAATAAGCAAGGCACTGTCAAATATATATCAAGCTGGTGGGGAGCAGAAATTTTAATAATGCTTTAAGTAAATTTAAAAATGCAAAATTCCTGTAAAGCGGTTCCAGGCTTCAGACATGAAATCTGAACAAAGCACGTATTTCAAGTATTAACCTACCTCTCTCCAAAGCACTAAGTGACATTTCAATCTGCTGCCTCATTCCTCTGTTATCAGCATGAGTCACTTCTGACAAGTTTTCTTGACACCAAAAGCTAAATAGATGACAGAGGAGGGATCTTCTTTATTGTCCCAAAAATTGTGACAAAAATTACAACTCAAAACAAAAAATGCCTCATTTAGGAGTATTTGTCCTAGCATTTTGGGGTCTCATGAAATAGGCAGTCAGTACATCAGGACTGATCAATTTTCAAATATATATTATATATATATATATATATATATATATATCATAGTTTGTAGACTCTATAACTTTCACAAAGATTAACCACTTGTCTACCAGCCACTTTCACTCCCTTCCTGCCCAGGCCAATTTTCAGCTTTCAGCGCTGTCGAGCTTTGAATGACAATTGCACGGTCATGCAACACTGAATCCATATGAAACTTTTATAATTTTTTGTGACAGATAGAGATTTCTTTTGGTGGTATTTAATCACCACTGGGTTTTTCCTCTTTTGCTAAACAAACCAAAAACAACTGAAAATTTTGAAAAAAAAAGTTTTTTTCTTAGTTTCTGTTATAAAATTTTGTAAATTAGTAATTTTTCTCCTTCACTGATGTGCGCTAATGAGGCTGCAGTGATGGGCACTGATAGGCTGCACTGATGGACACTGATAGGCGGCACTGATGGGCACTGATGAGGAGGCACTGGTAGGTGGCACTGATGGGCATTGACAGGCATCACTGGTGGGCATTGATAGACATCACTGATGGGCACTGAAAGGCAGTACTCATATATGGCACTGATAGGCAGCACTGTTAGGTGGCACTTATAGGCAGCACTGACTTGCACTGATAGACAGCACTGATTGGCAGTGTTAAGCGGCACTGACTGGAACTGTCAGGCGGCACTGATGCACACTGATAAGCAGCATTGACGGGCACTGATAGGTGGCACTGATTAGCAGCACTCATAGGTGGCACTGACTGGCACTGATAGGTGGCATTGACTGGCACTGATAGTTTTCACTGAAAGGCAGCTCAGATGGGCACTGATATGTGGCATTGATGTGCACTGATGGGCACTGACAGGAGGCATTGATGGGCAATGAAAGGTGGCAGTGATGGACACTGACAGGTGGCACTGATGGGGCTACACTGATCATCAGGGCACTGATCATCAGTGCCCTGATGATCAGTGTAGATGTCCCCTCTGAGGAATACTGATTACCGGCTCTCCTCTCCTCACAAGCTGTCAGCGTGAGGAGAGGAATGCCGATAACCGTCATTTCCTTATTTACATGCAATCAGCTGTGATTGGACACAGCTAATCACATGACAGAGCCGAAGTCATCGTCTCTTTCCTCTGATCGGTGACCTGCTGTGTCCCAGGGACACAGCACACCACCAATCACCGTGCTGCACTTCCCAGGGGTGCGCATGTGTGGTTAGAGTGGGAGGACGTCATATGACATCCTCCTAGAACAAGAGAACCATGACCCGTCTGTCATTTCCTTATATGGCGGGTAGGAGGTGGTTAAATAATAAACACTGATTTGGGTTATTTTTACCAAAGTAATGTAACTGAATACATTTGGTCTAAATATATGAAGAAAGGTTATTTATTTGCAAAATTTTGTAACAGAAGTTAAGAAAAATGTGTGTTCTGTTTTTTTACACTTATATCACAAATAAATAAAAACACAATGGTGATTAAATACCACCAAAAGAAAGCTCTGTTTTAAAAGAATTTATAAAAATGTCATTGGGTACAGCATTGCATGACTGAGTAATTGTAATTCAAATTGTGACAGCATTAAAAGTGGCCTGGGCAGGAAGGAGGTGAAAATATTCAGTATTGAGGTGGTTACCATTGTTGCTCCTTGGGGATGTGCCCAGTCCTCCATGCAATTTGTTTGACAATCCCTTGCCTATTAGCATTGAAATGGACATTATTGTTTCTTAACCTTTTGATCCCTTTGACTTCAATGAGGTTCAGATTCAGCACCCAAACTTTAGACATGTTCTACAAATTTGCCTCAACCAAAATCAGATATGTTCAGCTCATTCCTACCGAGGGCATGAGGCCTTGTATGATTCAGAAGGGTAGACACATGCTGGCAGCTTAAGGCTTCTAAAAACCAGCCCAATGAAAAGCTGTACCATTTAGTAGCTGCTAAATGTTTTCCTTTCCACTTCAACCAAAGTTTCTATTCACCAAACACTACACCAAACCAAGCCAAACTTAGTTCTGTAATTTACCAAAACCTCTGAACAAGAAACCATGGAAGCTTATTCATAGTCCTACACAGGACTAGCCTCTCCAACAATTTTCCCTACCCTGTATTTTAACTGTAACCCAGCTACCTACCTCTGGCATCTATACCTCCATTTTGCCACCATTATTTCCAAGTTAGTAATGCTTCACAATGTTGTAATTTGATTGTTTAAGTCCATGATCTAGGCTTCCAAACAAACATATTACTCACATCTTGCACAACAGTATTCGCCCTCAAACAGTTGAGCATGATATGCCCTAAATTGTGTTTCTAATCATGGAAGACACATGTCCCTCTATATTTATGGGGCTATTTCAAAATGTTACATTCATGGGAAAAATTCAGTATTTTTAGAACCCTGCTACAATTTATAATCAAATGTCATAGGTTGTAACCCTACAATCACAACCATCTCTGTACAATCCCAACCCTGCCTCCCATTGTGTTCGCCCACACTCCAGTCCATGCAGCTTAAGAGGAGGTGAACTAAACACATCAGCCAACAGCTCTGATGCATCTGAATGAGCCAGTGAGTCTGACCTCTCTTCCTTCCATCCACCCCTCCCTCACTTCATTTCATTTCACCCCTCCTTTCTTTCTTTCCTTCCACCCACCCCTTCCTTCCTTCCTTCCTTCCTTCCACCCACCCCTCCCTCCCTTCTTTCCACTCCTCCCTTCCTTCTTTCCTTCCTTCCTTCCACGCCCCCCCCCCTTCCTTCCTTCCTTCCTTCCTTCCTTCCTTCCTTCCACCCACTCCTTCCATCCACCCACACCCCTCCCTTCCTTCCTTCTTTCCACCCCTCCCTTCCTTCCACCCACCCCTCCTTCCCTTCCTTCCTTCTACCCCTCCCTTCCTTCCACCTCTCCGTTCATTCCACTCACCCCTCCCTTCCTCCCTTCCTTCCACCCACCCCTCCCCCCCTTCCCCCCCCCACCCACCCTTTCCTTCCACCCCACCAACCCCTCACTTTCTTCCTTCCATCCACTCCTTCTTACCTTCCTTCCTTCCTTCCCCCCACTCACATACCTCTTCCTTCCTTCCACCCACCCTTCCCTAACTTCTTTCCACCCACCCTCCCCCTTCCCCCGCCCTTCCTTCCTTCCACCCACCCCTCCCTTCCTTCCACCCACCCCCCGTTCTTTCCTTCCACCCCCCCCCCCCCCCCCTTCCTTCCTTCCACCCCCCCCCTCCCTTTCTTCCACCCACCCCTTCCTTCCTCCCCCCATACACCCTTCCTTCCTTCCATACACCCTTTCCTTCCTTCCACCCCTCCTTTCCTTCCCCCCACCCCCCCCCCCCCTTCCTTCCCCCACTTCCACCCCTTCCTTCCACCCACCCCCCCCCTTCCACCCACCCACCCACCCCTCCCTTTCTTCCCACCCACCCACTCCTCCCTTTCTTCCACCCACCCACCCACCCCTCCCTTCCTTCCTTTCTATGTATCCCTCCCTTCCTTCCACCCACCCCTTCCTTTTTTCCACCTACCCCTCCATTCCTTTTCCATACACTCCTTCCTTCCTTCCTTCCTTCCACCCCTTTCCTAGTAGTGGAGGGACGCACAGACACAACATTGTTCAGGGTCAAAATTGTATGATATTTATTTTAGTTTCTTCCTATTACTAATGAAGGAGGGAATTGCGATAATATGGTATGTTTAGTGATTTTACTAAAATCAGAGTACTTCTTTGAGAATATTGGCCTGATTATAAAATGTTAATCAAACATATAAAAAGATAAAAAGCATTTACTAATTCATCAAATGGATCATAGTTTTCATGCCCACCCTTACATCGCTGCTCCACTGGCATCATAAGAATCCAAGATGCCTTTTCCTTTATACATGTAGGTCAGCTGTATTTGATTACTAATGTAAAATAGCTGATCATAGACTTCACTTTCATGTAGATTTAGAAGCGTGGAATTTCCAACAGATGAAAATGCTAAAGAAATAAAGTATTTAAATCAAAGCTGGTATTATTAGCATGTTCAATTCTGTCACATATTTTTTCAACTAATGATGGGTTGTAATAAACAACCTTCCATCATTAGCCAGATCTATAGAAATATACATGCTGTAGATAAATCTATTATATGACTTTGTTTAGAAATCAGGTTTCCTCAGAAACATGTGAAGGATAATGTAATTTGTTACCATAAATTATAGTGCTACTGGTAAAATAGCCAATATATACTCCTGCAGAAGAATTTCAGTCCAACAATAACACCCACCTGGGTAGCACTGTGGCTAAGTGGTTACACTTCTGTCTGGCAGCACAAGGGTTGTTGGTTTGAATCTCCACCATGGCACTACCTGCACAGAGTTTCCATGTTCTCCCTATGCCTGCGTGGGTTTCCTCTGGGTACTCTAGTTTCCTCCCAGATAGGTTAATTGGCTCTTGTCTAAATTGGCTCTAGTATGTATATAATAGCTATATGAATGTGAGTTAGGGATCTTAGATTGTAAGCTCCTTGAGGGTTAGGGACTGGTATGAATGTACAATATATATCTAAAGCTCTGCGTAAATTGACAGCACTATATACAGTGGGGCAAAAAAGTATTTAGTCAGCCACCAATTGTGCAAGTTCTCCCACTTAAAAAAATGAGAGAGGCCTGTAATTGTCATCATAGGTAGACCTCAACTATGAGAGACAAAATGAGAAAAAAAATCCAGACAATCACATTGGCTGATTTGGAAAGAATTTATTTGCAAATTATGGTGGAAAATAAGTATTTGGTCAATATCAAAAGTTCATCTCAATACTTTGTTATATATCCTTTGTTGGCAATGACAGAGGTCAAACATTTCCTGTAAGTCTTCACAAGGTTGGCACACACATGTTGCTGGTATGTGGCCCATTCCTCCATGCAGATCTCCTCTACAGCAGTGATGTTTTGGCGCTGTCGCTGGGCAACACAGACTTTCAACTCCCTCTAAAGGTTTTCTATGGGGTTAAGATCTGGAGACTGGCTAGGCCACTCCAAGACCTTGAAATGCTTCTTACGAATGTGATTGTCTGGATTTTTGTTCTCATTTTGTCTCTCATAGTTGAGGTCTACCTATAATGCCAATTACAGGCCTCTCTCATCTTTTTAAGTGGGAGAACTTGCACAATTGGTGGCTGACTAAATACCTTTTTGCCCCACTGTAAGTACTTGTAACAAATAATAAAAAAAAAGCAAGGTATGATTGGTTTTCAACTTTTGATACTAAAAGTGCATTTCTGGTATGTTTTAAAGGTAACACGTTCCTTTTTTCCTGTGGCATCAGATTTCGAACTCTAAAAAAGGGGGACCCTTGGAGCCCCCCCCCCCCAAAAAAAAAACAAAGTTGTTATTTTTACTGAATACAAGTAAAAATCTTCCTGGGCTTTATAATTGCATTGGCACTGGGACCGGTAAGCTGCAATATATTACATTCTTGCTCTTGGGTTTAGATACACTTAAATCAGGGTATTTTATGTTATAATTGAATCGCATGTGAAAAATACTTGAATCTTGGTGAAAGTTGGGGGAATCTTGCATAAAAAGGTTTGATAGAGAGACCACCAACAGTATGTGTGCCTGTATGACAAAGTTTTTAAAATAAGCCCAAACCTTTTAAAGAACCAAAAATATAAGCTCACAAAAAAGAATCAAAAAAATTTGAAAGCTGTTTGCTATTGTTGTGTGATACAGATAACCATTAAATAAGGTGCTGGCAAGTACTATATTAAGCTCAATTTGCTATTGAATGAAATCATGAATAAAGAATTCAAAGGATGAGCTCACATAACCTAAACCTTAAAGCTGTACTCCAGGCTTACCTTCAGTTTCTCGCAGTCGTGCGGGCTCCTCTTCTTTACTGAAATTGGTAAATCTGATTTCAGTACTCACTGTGAGCTTGTGCAACAAGTCAAACTGGGCCCAGATCATATCCTGGCTAAAGGGCATCCAGCATTACCTGTCCCTGTCCCTGTGTTATTGTTCTTGGCCTTCCTTCCATTCATTGATTTCAGTTCTTTCAATCTTCGAGTCTTATTGTCACATATGAATGTTACCTAGGGTGGTCTGAGTGCAAATTCCTAGAAATGCTTCTTTTTCAAGAGTGACATCCACCCATTGAGGCATTTTGATATTTTCATACATCCTCCCAATGGCCAGCCAACTAATTACACTAGGGCTGAAGACATTTGAGAGGAATACTGATGCAGGGTG